TCTGAGAAAACTGGAGAAACTGTGGACACAGGCAGGGAGGAGGGACCCTGGCACAGCGACGGCGGCCTTGACTAGAGTCTCACCTGACATTCTGGGTTGGGTTCCACCGTTCAGACGGGAGCTCTCCGCTCTGAGGGTCATCTACAGGTGGGTGAAGGATTGAAATACATACATCTCCGTTCTGTTGGGGAAAGGAAACCAAGAAAGATGGGAGGGGGGAAGTGTCCGGTTGTGTAAAAACACACACACGCTTCCGCTGCCCAACACGGCATCTGGAGATTCAAGTGGCCCTTGAGAACAGGGAAGGTGGCCGCCCCACCCCCACCACCTAACAAGCTCTTCTCTATACTAGACTTGAGTCCAGAAGCACCTTAGAGACTAACAAGATGGGTGTGTGTGTGTTAATTAGCTTTCGAGAGTCAAAGCTCCCTTCTGACAAAAGGCAGCGTTGACTCTAAAGCTCATACTGCCCCCCCCCCAAAAAAAACCTTGTTGATCTCTGAGGTGCTACTGAATTCGATTCTCACTCTTGTACTGCAGAACAACACAGCTACCTTCTGAAATTCTCCCATACTAAGAACATCAGAAGAGCCCTTCCGGATCAGACCAGTGGTCCACTTAGTCCAGCATCCTGTCTCATACAGTGGCCAACCAGTTCTTCTGGATGACCAAGAGCATAACTCATTTGCATATGCCACACCGCCTGACCTCACTGGAAGTGTGTCAGAAGGCAAGTGTGTCAGAAGGCAACACCCACACAGAGCTTCCCATTAGCCGTTGTCAGATCTCTTGTCCGTTAATGTATTTAAACCCTATCTAAGAACATCAGAAGAGCCTTGCAGGATCAGACCAGTGAGGGTCTGTTTAGTCCAGCATCCCGTCTCACACAGGGCCAGCCAGTTCCTCTGGAGGGCCAACGAACAAGGCAGAGAGGCCAGGGCCTTCCCCTGATAAGAGCCTCAGAAGAGCCCTGCTGGGTCAGACCAGTGAGGGTCCATCTAGTCCAGCATCCTGACTCACACAGTGGCCAACCAGTTCCTCTGGACGGCCAACAACAGGACAGGGAGGCCGAGGCCTTCCCCTGATGTTGCCTCCCGGCTCTGGGATTCAGAGGTTTAGTGCCTCTGAATGTGGAGGTTCCCTGCGGTCAACATGGCTGGGAGCCATTGACAAATTCATGGAGGATAAGTCTATCCAATCCCCTTTGAAAGCCATCTATTCCTGTGGCCATCACCCCATCCTCTGGCAAAGAATTCCACATCTTAATCACTCTCTTTGTCAAGTAGTACTAAACACCTCTGACCACTGGAGGGGCTGGGGGAGAAAGACACAAGATGGACTCAAGCCACTCCTCGCCCATTTCCAGACTTCTGGTCTGAATCTCAAGAGCCAAAGTGGTCCCCACGGCCTTTGTACACACAGTGTGTGTGTGGGGGGGTGTGACTGAAGGAGCAATGAGATGCCACTGAATCCCCAGCAGGGGGAGCCAGAGTGTTGAGGAAAAAAAGGGGGAATCTGCCATTCGGGCTTCCTTCACCTAGAAGCCTCCTAGCAAACAAAAGAGAATCTCCCCCACCCCCTTGTTCCGGGATGAGTCAGTGGGATTCCAGGGGGCAGCTAGTTCCTGGCCTCTCTGCCAGCAAGAAGGGTCCAGCAATATCAGGAAATGGGAAATAGCAGCACTGGAAGCCAGCTTCTCAGACGTGCAAAGCCAAAGGCCTCTCTGCTCTGGAGGACGGCCAGTAGAGGAGGAGGGCCTCGTTCCCTGCTCCCCCCCCCCCCCAAAGCTTTTCTGTCTTCACATTGGAGCAGGGGTGTCGAACTCATTTGTCATGAGGGCCGGATCTGACATTAATGAGACCTTGTTGGGCCGGGCCATGTGTGTCATAAAATGTAATGCCAGGTAGCAGAGATATAAACTTTATAAAGGACACATACACAAAGGGTTTTTTTTAACTTAAAATAAAAACATGCTTAAAAGAGTAGCACTCTTAAAACAGTAGCAATATTTTGTTTATTTAATGGTGTCTGATAACTGACACTTCTTGCTTTGGATTACTGCATCAAAATGTCTGTGCTGTTGCAATCTTGAGTATGTTGTTCAGGTGTGTATCTGTAAGCTGCAAACCTACGATGACGCAGCAGCAGCAGAACTGGAAGCAGCAGCAGAAGACAGCCAGTTCCACTGCGGGCCTGATAGAAGCCCTCCGGGGGCCTGATCTGGCCCCCGGGCCACATGTTTGACACCCCTGGAGGGAGCAGCAAGTCAATTTCCCTGATTTGCTCCAAGGACACAGGGCAAGGTGGCTCCCGGACATTTCCAGGGCAGCGCAATCGGTGCGCCCTTCCAGATGGCCGTAGCTGGCTTCCCTGCCTGTCAGGGCCGGGGATGGGCGATGGTGACCCTTCCAGGCCTACCCCAGGGAACCCCGGCACCCCTTTGCCTTCTGCACCTTGGCCCGGGTTTCTTTTGCAGAGAGCAACACAAGTAAGCATGGCAAGAATGCTGCACAGGAACCTTGAGGTCCAGTGAGCACACAAGGGTGTGGAAGCTGCCAACACAGCAGCTAGTAAGGCACGGGAACACCGTTCAAGCCCTCCCACGGCAACACACATGGGCAACCCGGCCCAAGAGCCATTCAGAAAGGAATGAAGAGGCTGGGCAGACATAAACTAGACGGTGAGTCTGGCTGACATTATGGGAAGCAAAAGAACACCCCGATTAGTGATGCAGGGGTTACAGTTATCAGATTAGGACCTGAGAGAGCCAGGTTAGAATCCCCACACTGCCACGGAAGCTGGCTGGGTGACCTCGGGCCAGTCACGCACACTCTCAGCCTAACCTACCTCTTGGGATTATTTCTTTGGAAAATAGTTTTAGAAGATAGCCATACTGGTCTGCAGAAGAGCCAGATTTGAGTCCAGGAGCAACTTAAGAGACCAGCAAGATTTCAGTTTTGGGCACCACACTTTAAGAAGGATGTAGACTAGCTGGAACATGTCCAGAGGATGGCAATGAAGACAGTGAAGGGTCTGAAAACCAAGTCCTATGAGGAAAGGTTGAAGGAGCCGGGTGCGATTAGCCTGGAGAGAATCCATAGGCGATATGATAGTCATCTTCAAGTATTTGAAGGGCTGTCATATAGAGGACTAGCCTGATACCCGTGTTTCGCTACGGTATTTAAGTTCCGTAAAACCAGTTATAATACTGATGATGTGAAGCCTGAAATGTAAAAATTTGTTGTAGGAATTCTAATGGAGATGACTGTAGTGTAAAAAATGAAGTGAGACATACATACTTTTCCCCCCTCTACTGAAGGACCTCTCTGTAGACTGTTGGAGCGGGCTCCTTCATGGCTTTAAGCACCCTGCAACCGCTGCTGCACCTGACAGACACCTGCCTGTTAGGTGTGGGAGGTGGGGGGAGTGTGTTGGAAGCCATCAGAGAGGCTGGGCCAGCAGCATCGCTATGGTGATCCTGCTGGGGCGACGTCCCTGATGGATTAAAGTGCCCTGGTCCTGCTCCTACACCTGACAGACACCCACCCGTCTGGTGTTGGGGGGATTATGTTTAAAGGCATCAGGGAGGCTGGGCCAGCAGCACGGCTAAGGCAGCTGCCTGTTCAGTGCACGAGGGGGAGGGGGGAGGAGTATTAGAAGCCACTGTGGAGGCAGGGCTGGCAGGATCACTAAGGTGTTACTGCTGGGGCGGGCTCCCTCATGGCTTTAAGCACCCTGCAACTGCTGCTGCACCTGACACACAACTGCCTGTCAGGTGTAGGAGGGGGGAGCATGTTTGAAGCCATAGGGAGGCTGGGCCAGCAGCTTTGCTTCACTTCACAGGCGGTTGTTGGCCACTCTTGATTTCCTCAGCTGCCATTAGCTCTCTGTATTCCTCTGTAACTGCTTTTTTTACCTCAGAACACTGAGCTCTGCAGCTGACGAATCAGAGAGTGGGGGGTGCAAGGAGGCAGCTGCCTGGAAGCTACATACGAATCAATGGAGGGAGCACTTTTTACCCCTTTTGGGGGTCGAATTTCTAAAAATCCCTTCTTAGTGAGCATTTATGCCATGGTAGTAGCGCTCTCCCCGAATTTGGTGTCTCTAGGTCCAGCGGTTTGGCCTGGGCATTGAATTTTACGGTGAGGGGAGTTTCTTTTATATATACAGATGGAGCGAAGGTGTTTTCTGTTGCTCCAGAGGGTCAGGCTAGAACCAATGCATTGAAATTAAATCAAAGGATTTTTTTGGCTAAACATCAGGAAGAACTAACTGACAGAGCGCTTCCTCAGTGGAACAGGCTTCCTCGGGAGGTGGTGGGCTCTCCTTCATACTGAATCAGTCCCTTGGTCCATCAAGGTCAGAATCGTCTTACTCTGACTGGCAGCGGCTTTCCAGGGTCTCAGGCAGGAGGTCTTTCGCGTCACCTACTACCCGGTCCTATTTAACTGGAGATGTCGGGGATTGAACCTGGGCCCTCCTGCATGCCAAGCAGAGGCTCCCCCACCGAGCCGCGGCCCCTCCCCAACATGCAGATGACACTGCCTTATACTGAATCAGACTACTGGTCCATTAGTACTGCCTGCTTGAACTGGCAGCGGCTCTCCAGTGCCTGAAGTCAAGATGCTGAGAATTGAACCTGGGACCTTCTGCATGCCAAGCAGCGGCTCTGCCACTCAGCTACAGGCCTCTTCTAGGCCTCTCCCCCAAGACCTCTCATGGTCCTGAGGCATTTTGCTTCATCCCGCATCAGATATCTCACCCCAGCCTTCATGATGCCAGAGGAAGATAACGTAAGGGTGTGCATGTTTGCAGAGTGCGGGGGTCACAACCCAATGGGAGGAACTCCAGGTCCCTGAGTCGGTCCAAACAAAAATCCAGAACCCCCAAATCATGTAACGTGCAGACAAAAAAAACCTTCAAAGTCATGGACTGAAACGTCCCTCCTCTCTGTCACCTGCCGCTTTGGTTTCATATTTTCGAAAGTTCTGGAGAACTCACAAGCGTGCACACTCACATCATTCCTGTCCGTCTTTGTGAGAGGTACACCACAGCTTCTGATCGCGGATGTAATAGCAGGCAAGTTACCTCACACTACACAAAAAGGACTGGGCACGGGGAGACACAACACTTTTACCTCGTAAATGTTGGGATGCCACATTTTGGTCAGGAACCTGAAGGTAGGTGGTGAATATGGGTAGTCCATAGGAAATTTAATATGAGCCTGAAAAAGACAGAACAAGAGACCCGGGTTAGACACAGAGGTATTTAAGCACGTGGAAGAACAAAGCCCGCTGAGGGGGGAAATCAGCACGGCTTCTGCAAACGGAAGTCCTGCCTCACCCAAGCTTAACAAGCAGGTGGATAAGAATGATTCCGTCAACATTAGATTTCTAAGAGGCTGCTGACAAGGCACCTCATCAAAGACTCCTGAATAAGCTTAGAATCAGAAATCATGGGATAATAGCAAATCCATTTATGGATTAAAAATTGGTAAAAGGACAGGAAGCAGAGATTGGCAGTAAACGGACAGCTGACTCACAATGGAGGCAAATAAACAGTGCAGTACCTATACCTGGGATCAGTATCAGGACCAGCACTATTTAATTTGTTCATGTATAATCTGGAATTCGGGATGAGCGAGACAGAAATATAAAGTTTCTGGAAATTCTGACGCCATGAATAACTGTCCCCACTCCCCTGCCCCATTTTCCCCAGAAGAAAACACAAAATGTATGGAATACAGTTAGTTTCATATAAATGCTGACTTTAGTTTGCTGGTTCATTAAGTAGCACAATTTCTAACTTATTACCATATAAAACTTTTCTAATTAACATGTTTATGTGCTTCAAAAGGGCTACACTACATTGGACAGGCCGCACCCTGGAGTCTTGTGTGCAGTTCTGGAGGCCTCGCTTAAGAAAGGACGTGGACAGGATGGAGCTGGTGCAGAGGAGAGCGACGAGGATGATGGGGGAGGCCTGGAGACCAAGAAGCCCTAAGAGGAAAGGCGGAGGGACTTGGGAAGGTTGAGGGGGGGGGGACAGGGTTAAGGAGAGGTTGAAGAGGAGGTTGAGGGGGGGGGGACAGGGTTGCTCTAAGTTTTTGAAGGGCTGTCCATTAGAGGCAGGGATCTGTTTCTGTTGGGAGCAGAGGAGAGGGAGAGGACTCACAATAATGGGTTTAAATTAAGGGCGGGAAGGTACCGGCTGGATATTAGGAAAAACTTTTTGACAGTCGGGAGTTGTGCAAGAGTAGAAAGGGCTGCCTCGGGAGGTGGTGGGCTCCCCCTCCCTGGCAGTCTTGAAGCAGCGGCTGGACAGACACTTGTCAGGGATGCTCTAGGCTGATCCTGCATTGAGCAGGGGGTTGGACTAGATGGCCTCTTGGGACCCCTCAAACTCTGTGATTCTATGATTCTATAAATCATTTTGTAAGGTAAGGTAATAGAAACTGCCTCATACAATCACAACAGATAAGACTGCCCACATATTTGGATATGTTAGATTTTATAACAGTGAAAAAAATACTAAACTCTAATCTTCAACCGCTATAAAAAATTAGATTTAGATAAGTGGAAACCTGCAAGGATTTGCTGGGGGGGGGGGAAATCTCCTTTTCCCACCCCCCACTATTTCCTCCTTTCCTCCCTAAAAGCCCCCATAGCCCCTGGCCCCTGCTTCCTTCTCTCCTTCCTACCCAACAGCCAACCTACCTCTATCTGCCCCTTTGTCTTCCCCTCCCTGGCAGCCTCTTCCTAGGAAAACTATGCTCAGCTGTGTGGTGCCTGGCTGCTAGGCTGAGCCCACCTGCAGGGTAAAGAATCCTCAAGGACTTTGGGGGGGACATAACTTCCCCCTGTATTCCCCTCCCCACATAAATCCCCCTTTCCCTCCTCCTGGTCACCCTCGATCTGCTCAACTTCCCCTGCCTCATGCCCTCATTCTCAGTCAGTCACCAACCTTCCTCTATCTGCCTCCCACCTTAAGCTATATTTATTTGTTCATTATACCCCACCTTTCTCCGCAGTGGGGACCAAAGCAGCTTACATCATTCTCCTTTTTATCCTCACAAGAACCCTGTGAGGTAGGTTAGTATGAAAGTATGTGACTGACCCAATATGACCTAGTGAGCTTCCATGACAGACTGGGGATTTAGACCCAGGTCTCTCAGACCCTAGCACGAAGCTCTAACTGCTATGCCACGCTGGCTTTCAGAGGGTGGCTCCTGTTGAAGAAGAGCAAGCTACCAGGCCTCGGCGAGTCAGGTAGTCTGGTAGTTGTTGCCACGGCTGAGCCAATGAGTCCCCCCCCACAAAGTCCAAAAGAGCTCAGGAAAGGTGGTGTCCCCCCCCCTTCTACTGTTACAAACCAACCTAGAAGGCATTGGTTGCCTAGCAACAGCCACTGAAGGCGTCTGTTTCTTAAAGCTACAGGTGCTTCTTTTATCATTTGGGGATTTGTTTTAACCGCTCAATGTATTTGTTAGATTTCAGGTTTTTCTGCAAACCTGGGGCATTTTTCAGATTTACAGAAAGACTTGCATTGTCCATTCAGAGCTCCAGTCACTCAGATTCACTATTCGTATACAGATAAGTAGGAACCCACAAGGACTTGCAGGAGGCATCTCACTTCGCCCTCTCCTACTATTTCCTCTTTCACTCCCTTTCCTGAAAGCCCCCATAGCCTCTCCCCTTTTCCTGCTTCCTTCTCTCCTTCTAGGTTTGCCAGTCTTCAGCTGGGGGCTGGAGATCTCCTGGAATCACAAGAGCTCTCCCAGTTACAGTGATCAGTTCCCCTTATGGCTGCCAGATCGAGGTTGGGGAACCCTTGGAGATTTGGAGGCACAGCCTTGGGAGGGTGAGGTTTGGGGAGGGACGCAACCTCAGCAGGTTATAATGCCAAAGTAGACATTTTCTCCAGGGGAACTGATCTCTGTATTCTGGAAAACGTAATTCTGGGTGATTGCCAGCCCCCACCTGGAGGTTGGCAACCCTAGTTCTCCTGGAGGAAATAGCTGCTTCACAGGGTGGAGTCTATGGCATTATGACCTCACTGAGGTCCCTCCCCTCCTCAAGCTCCTCCCGCCTAAATTTCTAGGAATTTCCTAACCTCTTTTCCTCCTGGCAATCCCCGTACCCTCTCCCTGCCTTCATTCGTTCCTTCCCAGCCATTCAACAACCCACCTTTTATCTGCCTCCCATCTTCGGCTATATTTATTCTTTATTTAATTCGTTTATAACCCCCATACTCCACAGTGGGGGACTAAAACTGCTTCCATTATTTCCTTCTCCTCCTTTTTATCCACACAACAACCCTGTGAGGTAGGTTAGGCTGAAATTATGTGGCTGGTCCAAAATCACCCAGCAAGATGGGGATTTGAACCTACTCTGAAGCTCTAACAAAACTGGCAAGTAGCAGGCAGCCAAATCCAGCTCAGTCATGCAAGCTGGGTGGTATCAAGTCACCCAGATGTTGCTTCCAGGCCTAGGGTTGCCAACCTCCAGGAGGGCACCTAGAAATATCCCAGAATGACTACTCAACTCCAGACAACAGAGATCTGTCCCCATGGAGAAAATGACTACTTTGAAGGGTGGACTCTATGGCATTATATTTGGCTGAGGCCTCTCCCCTTCGCAAATCCTGCCCTCCCCAGACTCTTCCTCAAAATGCAGATCACTACTTTGGGGTTAGGAAGCAATTTTCTCCAGGCCAGTTTGGCCAAGGATCCTGGAGGTTGGTGTTTGTTTTTGTCATTTTCTGGTCATGGAGCAGGGGGTCACTGGGTGTGTGTGGGGGAGGTATTTGTGAATTTCCTGCATTGTGCAGGGGGTTGGACTAGATGACCCTGGGGATCCCTTCCAGCTCCATGTTTCTATGAAAATCTCCAGGAATTTTCCAACCTGGAGCCAGCAACCATGGCCAGGACTGGCCCCAATGAGCCCTTCCTCAAAGGACAAAATAGGTTTTGGAAAGGTCCCTGCCTCCTCCCCCTGCCTTTTACTCAGAGAAAGCCAGCTTGGAATACTGTGGTTGCCTAGCAACAGCCACTGAGGGAATCTCTTGCTTAAAGCTATAGGTGCTCCTTTTACCATTTTTTTTTAAGATTTCACATTTTTCTGCAAACCTAGGGCCCTTTTCAGGTTTGTAGAAAGATCTGTCTTGCCCATCCACAGGTACAGTCACCTGATTTAAGCATCCAAAGATACCCTGACTTTGCTATTATAAGTTGAAGGTGGAGTGGAAACTGGTGGAGGGAACATTAACAGTACTGGCAGAAATCAATGAAGACTTGGAACGACTACTAATGAAGGTGAAGGCAGAAGGTGCCCAAGACGGATTACAGGTGAACATCAAGAAGACAAAAGTAATGACTACTGGGAAATTGTTGTTGTTGTTCAGTCGCACAGTCGAGTCCGACTCTTCGCGACCCTATGGACCAGATCACGCCAGGCCCTCCTGTCTCCCGCCGTCCTCTGAAGTTGGCTCAATTTCATGTTCGTTGCGTCGATGACACTGTCCAACCATCTCATCCTTTGCCGTCCCCGTCTTCTTTGACCTTCAGTCTTTCCCAGCATCAGGGTCTTCTCCAGTGAGTGCTCCCTTCTCATTTGGTGGCCAAAGTATTTGAGCTTCAGTTTCATTATCTGGCCTTCCAGGGAACAGTCAGGGTTGATTTCTTTTAGGATTGACTGATTTGTTCTTCTTGCAGTCCAAGGGACTCTCAAGAGTCTTCTCCAGCACCATAGTTCAAAAGAATCTATTCTTCGGCGCTCGGCCTTCCTTATAGTCCAACTCTCGCAGCCATACATGACTACTGGGAATACCATTGCTTTGACCATACGGACTTTTGTTGGCAGGGAGATGTCTCTACTTTTTATCATGCTGTTTAGGTTCGCCATCGCTTTCCTCCCAAGGAGCAGGCGTCTTTTAATTTCATGGCTGCTGTCACAGTCTGCGGGGATCTGGGATCCCAGGAACGTGAAGTCTGTCACCACTTTTTTCTCCAGGAAATTTCTTTTTTCTTGGGAAATTACACAACCAAAAACTGACGATGAAGAAATTGAAACTGTTCAAGACTTTCTACCCCTTCGCTCCATCATCAACCAAAAGGGAGACCGCAACCAAGAATTGAGACTGGGGACGGCAGATTCTTAAGTGTAAGGTTGTGTTGATGGTGACCAAGATCAAGATAACTCATGCCATAGTATTCCCCTTTACTAT